AAGAGGGAAAAAAAAGTAAAAAAAAAAAAAAAAAAAAAGGAAGAAAAATACATGGTTTATCTCAAACACCTCGACAACTAGTGCCCTGGCTTTGACAGGACAGAGGGAATGAGCTGTAACTACTTAGTAGATTGTTCCTATGCATCCTCTAATCTTGAATTTTCAGTCTGCCTTATAAATACATTATTTTCATTAAAATGTGTTATCATCACTAAACACAGGTTTTATCTATATACTTAACCGTTATAGCAAGCCCAGTGAAGTGCTGTATATCCATGATTGTCTGCTATGGCTGGATTTGCATCCACAGATGATGCTGATTGCAAAAGGGCTCCAAGAACACCAATGTGTCCGCAGGCAGCTGACAAGTGTACAGGCGTCCGACCCCTGCTATCTCGTAGCAAGCACTTAGCACCATGTTGAAGTAATGCATCTATACATTCTTCATGGCCCGTAACTGCCTGAAAGGAAAATAATGTGCGTGTTGTGAAATGTTAAAGTCTAATAAGGCCATTTATCATTTTCTGAGTAATTCAATATTTTCTGAAAGTCATTTAAAAGTTAAAGAAACAAGCCGGGCGTGGTGGCGCATGCCTGTAATCCCAGCACTCAGGAGGCTGAGGCAGGAGGATCGCTTTGAGTTTGAGACCAGCCTGGGCTACATAGTGAGTTCCAGGTCAGTCTCAATTACATGGTGAGACCCTGTCTCAAAAAACCAAAATCAAAACCAAAACCAAACCAAAACAAGATAAAGAAACAAATCATCAAAATACAGGTAACATGAAAAAAACAGAGATATCAGGGGCTGAGGATGTAACTTAGCAGTGCAGCACCTGCCTGGCAAGCACGAGGCCCTGAGTTCGAGTCTCAATACCAAATAACAAAATAAAAAAACCCCACAGATGTCTCTAGTTCAATGAAAATAATATTTCAAAGGTGAAAAAATTGTAAAAAAAAAAAAAAGTTACGATAATGGAAAAAAGTCAAATTGATATAACTATTCAAGTTTTTAGGGAATTAAAATTTTATCCTAATAGTGTTGTCCTCTTAATTAACTTCTGCACTGTAACTATTCAAAGTTAACATTTACAAACTAAAACATTGAAACAACAGTAAAATTATTTGGCAGAAATTTAATGAAAAGTAATTCTAACCTAGTTCAGTTGTGGGTAATATGAGGTCATAAAGCTTCTTGAAAAGAAACAGGGTGCTTTAGCTTACCCCTCTGTGCAGTGCTGTCCTTCCCCACTTATCTTTGGCATCTACATTTGCTCCTTTGTTCAGTAGTGAATATACACAGTCCGTGTGCCCATTGAGAACAGAGAGCATCAGAGGTGTCCTGAGCAACAAGAGGAATGGGGTTAGCACTCACCTAAGACTAGTCTATAAATACCAGTATAGTGCCTGTTTTCTAAATATGCCCTTTGTAATATCTCTCTCTCTCTTTTTTTTTTTGGTACTAGGGATCCAACTCAGATCCTTGCGCTTGTGAGGCAGGCAGCGGAACCACTGAGCTAGATCCCCAGCCCTGTAATATAACTTTAAAAAACAACAACAACCCATTAATTTGATGTTACTCAGTTACACATCAATAGCAGTCTTACTAAGCTGGGGCCAAAATACATTATGAAACCCCTAAAAGTAATTTAAAAATTTTTCGAACTTACTGCCCATTTCCATCCTGAATATCTACTGCATTCTGTGGTTCTGCATTTCCTATTAACAGCCGTAAACATTCTGAATGGCCATTTGTTGCTGTGAAGTGAAATTTAAAAATTTCAGTAATTGTATGTAATAACACAGAAAATGTCCATCTCCGAGCATACCTTCTAGAATGTAATTTTGGGACAACATAAATTTTTGTGATACTTTCACTAAACTCAATAGTAAGAAGTTTGTTTGGCACTGGGGAGCAAACTAAGGTCTCCTTGTGCTTGGGAGGCAGGTGACGGAACCACTGAGCTAGATCCCTGGCCCAGTAAGAGTTTTCATTACATGTACAAAGTGTTTTTTTCTTTTCCTTGAACCCAGGGCCTGCAAAGTGAGTTAAAGCCTCAGGTTTCAAACTTTTTAAAAAATTCTGAGACAGAGTCTTGCGAAGTTGTGAAGCTGCCCACTTCAAAGTTGTGAAGTTTGAGCTGGGCTCAAATTTGTGACCCTCCTGCCTCAGCCTCCAGGGGTGCTGGGATTACAGGCATGTGCTACCATACCCAGCTACAAAGTAGTCTCTACTGAGATTGTTGTTAAAGTTGAAGAGAAATTCCTCATGGCAAATCACAGCAGGCAGGCAGCCCTGCCAGCACTCATTCCCTGTCACCTGTAATACTAATAGGATGCTCATTTTATTTAGCGCCCAGTCAGGGAGGGTGATCTGCCTATAGGCAAGGGATGAAATAAGCCATCCGTGTCAGACCAATCGCAACAACCCCATTTCTCCTTTGATTGTGATCAGCTGCAAGGTGAGTACAAGATACAGATCTGATCAGAGATGTTGAAAGGTCTACAAGAGTTTTGGAAAATACTTTAAAGCTCCTTGTTTTGTGAATTGGCAATGACTCAGCACCAATTCTATGACACAACTGCAAAGGCAAGAGAATAAGAGAGACTGGTTGAGTTCTGACATCACCGTGGAATCAACCAATCCTGGAACTGCATCTGCCCCTAAACATGTGTGAGATTAAACCACTACCACTTTTCCCCTCTAGTACGAGGGACCAAACCTGAGGCCTGGCACATGCCAGGCAGGTGCTCCACCACTGAGCTGCATTCCCCACCCACCCCACCATTTATAGCTTAAAGAATTCCAAATCATGCATATATATAATGAAAGGAAAAGGACACATCCATAAAGAATGCTTTCCTGTGCCCAAATAAAACAGAAAAGTAGTTTATTTGTTTTTAATTTTTTTTGGACACAGGATCCCACTTTGTATTCAGGCTGGCCTCTTAACTCCTCATTTTCCTGTTTCACCTTCCCAAATGCTAGGATTATAGGAGTGAATCACCATGCCCGGCAAAAACAGAATGCCATTAAAGTAAGTTAAACATGCAAAATTGCAATAAAGTTTGAAGTCTGAAGAAATCTATAAGCCACAAAATGATTCAGAAAGTAATGTCTTCCATTATTCTGCCTAATTAGAAAGGATGAAAAAAATAAGTGAAAGCAAGGTAGGTGCCTAATACTCTGCAGTAGTTTTCTTTCTTTTCTTTGGTACTGGGGATCGAACTCAGGTCCTTGTGCTTACAAGGCAGGCAGCAGCACCACTGAGCTAAATCCCCGGCCCTCTGCAGTAGTTTTTGACAGCTATGTTAAGTTCTAATACTTACTAAGAGCAGCGGGTCAAAATCACTAAGCCTATCCCATCCCGTTCAATCTGGGTGCTGCATTCTGTCAGCAGCTCTCTCAGCAATAACAGCATCATAATACTTGGGGATGGCTCGAATATTATGGGCCAGCATTTTTTTTAATGGAGTCTTGTTACTCAGTGCACAGTAGCTACTGATGAGTGTTTGTGTGATTTAAATTCAATACCCAAAACATCAAGCATGGCATCACCGTGGGAGAAGTGGTAAAGTTCTAGAAAAAGTATTTCAGTGTTCTTTTCGTGACTTACAAGTAATAAGATGCTCCCTAGAAGATCTCTGAATTTGAAAGGCATTTGTAGAACCAAGGCTTGCATTTATCTATAGCTCTTTTGTGGGTAGGACTTACGCTGGACTATATGGCACAGTGCTTTAATTCAGTATTTATCTACTAAGAATGCAAAGCCTCCATTTAAAAGTTCAGGGCTGGGGATTTAGCTCAGTGGTTCCGCTGCCTGCCTTACAAGCACATGGTCCTGCATTCGATCCCCGGTACCAAAAAAAAAAAAAAAAAACCCCAAAAAACAAAAAAAAAAAACCCCAAAAAACAACAAAAAAAGTTCAAATGACCCGTGGTTACAATATAATCTTTCAAAGTATAGATTAATATATTACTTCACTCTTTCCCACAATAAAAAGCACTTATCATTGTGACCTTTTGTTTGTATTATGTGACTTTTTTTATGTATACATTCATTAGGGGCTTAAAATAATTATGAAAATATTTGTCTTGAGCTCTGTCTGAATATTTCATAATTCTGAAAGGCTGATTTGGAATACACAGTGTTACCTTACAGTTTTCTAAAATCAAGTTTCCCAAAGGACTACAAATAAAATTCAAGTCATATATTTGAATGTATTCTTAAAGAACAGACTAGTGAAACTCTAAAGAGAATAGTGAAATGAATCTAATTTCATAAAGATAGTCTCTTGAAGATATGAAAAATACTAGGCTAACAGATTCCTTCAATCATACCAGTCTTGTTATATGATTACTGCTCAGTAGTAATTATTATAGAGTTGTGCAATGTGCAGCTTGTAGCTGATATGCACCTACTCAAGTTTTTCAACAACTTAGGTAAAGATCTTTGTTTTCACACATCTGCAATATTACAACACAGTATAGTTCTTGCATGGTGAATAAAGTTGATGCTCTATATATTTTGTCTGATTAAATGAAAGCACACACTAATCTCAAACTTTCTCCAGCAGAACTATTGAGCTCTTTTGTGATAAAGTATCTCAGAAGTTAGACTATTACATAAATCTAATTTCTAAGGCAGATAACACTTTAAAGTGATTATAGTCTTGCTGTTGGTTTTCCTTAAGAATATAATCATTTGAGCACTTATAGTAAAAAATTTAAAGATGGAGTATTATATACCAGAACTTTAAAAAGAACATCAGACAGAAAGTGGTAAATACGCATATTTGGCATACCTGCTGCGTGTATAGGTGTTCTCTTCAAAATATAATCTTTTACTAAGATTGAGGCTCCCTGATTAATGAGTACATCCACACATTCAACATGGCCCTTAAATGCTGCAAGATCTAAGGGCGTTCTTCCACTACTGTTTCTGACATCAAGATCTAACAAAGACTGCACCAACACTTCCAGGGCTTGGTGGTGACCATGATAGGCCTAGGAGAAAAAACAAAAAACAAAAACATACTTAGACGTACTCTTCAAATATTTTTTTCTTTTTTGTGTGGTCTAGAGATTCAAGCTAGGACCTCATGCATGCCAGACAAGTGTTCTACCAATTAGCTACACCCCTGGCCCCCAGATACTTAACTCCTATATCGTGAACTCAGAAAGTTAACTATACATTTTCCCAATAATCAGCACAGCAGGTTATATTATTATAAAATAGGTATTCTGTAAATAGTAATGTTCAAATGACAGGTGATATTTTCATGAGTATACAATGCCTGATTCAGGGCAGACAGCAATGATGTATGTCATGGACTTACTAAAAGCTTTAATTTTAAGTGTATAATTCCAAAGCCTGCGTTCTTAATCACATTTCAGTGTTCCACATTAACTCCATGAATTTTACTATATTTTAATCATAAGGATAACTATATTAACTTGAGTTGAGTAGCTGAGTCTTTGCCATATAATAATGTGCCAGTACTCAAAAATAAACATTACTTTTAGCACAAAAGTACCTGAGACCTTTTCAAAACATTTAGCATGTTCCAGGCATTCTACCTGTACAAGAGCAAGATGCTGTTATTGATTAAATCTAAAAAAACACCCCAAAGCCTCATGTGTTTTTGGAAGGTGATGCACTTATGGGGATGGAACAGCTGGCTTACTGTTGGGAGTGTGGTTTCGTCTGGAGAGGCGGGTTGCTGTGGGTGTGACCACAAACTGGGCATGGCCTGGAAAGGTTTATCTTCCTCTCCCATTCCTTTCTCTCTATGCTTCCTGTATGCCACGCCATACTGCCTTGGAGTCAGCTGACTATGGACTAAAATGTGAGCCAAAATAAACCTCTCCTCCTTTAAGCTGCTGGTGTTGTGTACTGTGTCTCAGTGACAAGGAAAGTAACTATGACAGATGTGGAGATTTATTAGGTAAGGCCCCTTCCTTACATGGTATTCATTTCAAAAAAACAAAATGTAAATGGAACATATATCATCATCATTTTCATGTGTGGTACTGGGGAATGTACACAGGGTCTTTGCAAAGAGCTACAACTTCAGTTCTTTTTTTTTGTTTTGGTACCAGAGATCAAACTCAGGACCTTGTGCTTGTGAGGCAGGCACAGTGCCACTGAGCCAAATCCCTGGCCCTTCAGTTCTTTTTTTAACTTTTATTTTGTGACAAGGTCTCCCTAAGTCATTAAGTTGCGGACAATAGGCTCAACTCTGTGACCCTCCTGCCATGGCCTCCCACAGTGCTGGGATTATAGGTGGGCTATACCATGCCTGGTTGGACATACATTATTTACACTGGACTGGATGCTGAGCAGGACATAAAGTAATAAATTTCAAAGTGTTTTGTGTTATTTCTTATGGAAAATGTCAGAAAGTACCAGCAAGAGATAAAGTTGCTCTGGGCCTTAGTGAGCATCTCTGTGATACATCTGTGACTGAAGTTAGACTACCTTAAAGATTAAGTGACTACAGATCACAAAACTATTTTTCTAGAATCAGATCTGCTTTGCTCATGCTTCCCAGCTCCATGAAGTTAGACTAAAAGTATATATTTTGAGAAACTAAAACATTTGAGAAAAAAAGAAAAAAATTTGAGAAATTTAACTTTGATAAACCCTACTGAAAATGCTGAAGACGGTATAAAAAGAAAACAGGCTAAGTAGGAGCCATGATACTTTCCCTTCGTCATATTCTTTTCCAAAACTGAGGAAAGGAGCCAGTGCATCCGCAAAATTTCCTTAAGCGTTAAGCCAATGTTGTTTACTATATCAGGTTGTCTTGAATAGGAGAGTTTAGACTGAAAAACCTCAACTAATTTTTTAAAATCTCTTAGGATTAGAAATGAAATGCAAGCAGTAATATAACCACGTTTCACTGAGCCTAATCACTAAATTATAAGTTTCCATTTTAGCTTAAAAACACTATCCAGCATATCCATGTTCATAGATAGCAGTACTTACAGATAGCCAAGCAACGGAAGCAACTGTGTCTAGAAAAAAATGTGGAAATCAGGCACATGCCTGTAACTCCAGCTAATGAGGAGGCTGAGACAGGAGGATCACTGAATTCAAGGCCAGCCAGGGCAACTTAAAAAGATCCTGTCTCAAAGTAAAATTAAAAAAAGGGGTGAGGACACAATAACAAATGTTGGCGGGGTTGTGGGGAGAAAGGAACCCTTCTCCACTGTTGGTGGGAGTGCAGAATGGTGCAACCACTATGGAAATCAATATGGAGATACCTCAAAGAGCTTGGACTGGAGGTTCCATTTGACCCAGCCATCCCTCTACTGGGTATCTTTCCAAAAGAACTAAAAGAATCATATCACAGAGAAGTATGCGCACCCATGTTTATAGCGGCACAGTTTGTAATAGCTAAATCTTGGAAACAGCCCATTTGCCCATCCGTTGGAAACTGGATAAAGAAGATGTGGTTTTACTGTAAAATGGAGTATTACTCAGCCATAAAGAATGAGAAAATAGATTCATTCATAGGAAAATGGATACATACTGAAGATATACTCCTAAGTGAAATAAATAAGTCACGCGTGTAAATACCGAATAGTTTCCCTGGTGTGAATAATCTGCAATAATACATAAGATCCTAATAAGATTACTGACATTTAGAAATGGGAAGAAAGGAGCTAAAGGTGTAGGGAAGGTGGGATGGGTAGGGGAAGGGCAATAAGGGAAAAGAAAAAAATGTGAGATAATGAAAAGATGGAAATAAAGTGTTTGTAGATGGGGAGGGGAGGAGGGGGTGAAGGGAGGGCAGGGGTAAGGGGAAAAAATGAGAATCTAGACTTGTCACGTAGAGGTACAAGATCCCAACAATGAATGTAATTGTACTGTATCCCTAAAATGTACCAATAAACTCAATTAAAGCTGAAAAAAAAAGGGGGGGTGAGGATATACTCAGTGGTAGAGTACTTGTTTATCATATGAGGTTCTAGGTTCACTCTCCAGTACAGCTAACACAACAATAACAAAAAGTCACCCTCCAAAAATTGCCCCCCAATATGGTGTGTCTATCCATCTATACATATATACACACAATGGGATACTGTTCAGTTTTTAAAATGAAGAAAGTTCTAACACATGCTACAAAACAGATAAACCTTGAGGACAGTACATTAAGAGAAATAAGCCAGCCATAAAAAGACAAATATCGAACGGTTCCACTTAAATGAAGTACCTAGATTAAAATCAAAGGATCTACTAGAGGGAGGGAGAAATAGGCAGCTGTTGTTGAATGATTAGAAAATTTTATTTTTGTGAGGGGAAAAAGTTGTGGAAATTGGTTGTACAACAATGTGAATATATTTAACAGTACTGAACTGTATATTAAAAAATGGTTAAGGCAGCACCGTTTTTTGAGGCAGGGTCTCACTATATAGTTCAGATGGGTCTTGAACTCTATGTAGAACAGTCTGCCCTTAGCCTCTCGAGTGCTGAAATTACAAGTGTGTACCCACCACACCCAGCATAATGCTTTTCATTATTTTTTTAAACTGCCACAAAAAAAATCCTTGACATAAACAGTGTGTGTGAGACAGAGAGAGCGAGCGAGAGACTGACTTTACTATTCAATTGGAACACATAATTACTATTACTATTATTATTATTATTAATTATTTTGGTACCAGGGATCGAACCTGGGTCCCTGCACTTGCGAGGCAGGCAGTGGAACCACTGAGCTAAAACCCTGGCCCTGGAACACATTATTAAACTGCAGTACAAAAGGAGAAACTTGTTAAACTGGGCAGAGTGTGACAAATGTGAAATTCCTACAGAAATAAACACCATTAAGCTATAAATGAGACCTACATATTACAGGACATTTTTAGAGCCTTTAATGTGTTGATAATTTGTTGTATCTTGACAAAGGAAAGGAGAAATAGTTTGGCATTCAAAAAGTGATTAAGAAATGACTGCTATTATTACTGTGAGAGTGGTGATGATACAAGAATTGTCTCGCAAACTGCTCAGAGTTCATTCCTCGCCACCAACAGTAAAATGCCTGTTTTTCTCTCAACAGCCTATTCAGACTTATTTACTATGCAAGTCCGACAGAAGTGATAGTGTTTTTTAAGTCTCAAAGGATAAGAAAGCAAAAAACTCTGGCTTATCTTCGTAGTTATGTAGACCATGATAGGAAGTACTATGGGGAAGAAGAAGGAGCAGAAAGAGAAAATTCAGTGTGTGTCGGTGTCGGAACATATACAAGGAGGATATTAAAATAAAAATTACACAAATGGATCACCGAATTTATGTTGATTCCCATTAAATGGAGTAATGCCCCTAGAAGAACCGTACTAACGTCAGAGCTCTTACAAACAGCTGAGACAGTGTCCTGCTCTCCTGATTAATAAAAGTCCCCCAAGCCAACTAAAACATGCTTTATTTAAAAAATAAATTTTTTCACTACAGAATGCGTTAGATTGGGCTCTGCTTATAAATTCCTATGGCAATTCATTCCCATGTTTGATATAAAGGGTTGTCATACTCTCTCTTAACCTGTTCTCAGTGACTGATGTTGAGGGAAAATTCAGAGGAGTATAAAGTGAGAGGGACGTTTTAGATCAGGTAGCCAAATACTAAAGCACAAATAGATGAAGCGGCCCTGAACACACAAGTAGTATTCCAAGATCACAAGTAGGCAAGAAATCGCAGAAATCCTGCCGAATTTGTGTGTGTACAGTCTGCTCAGGCAGTGAGGACTTCTTCCCCCAGGACAGCACATCTGAGAACTCACGTCACAGGCACATGCTTTCCCTTAGAGAGGGCCCTGGGGCAGCTCAAGGACCACCATTTAAAAAACAAAGCAAATGCAGAAAACAAGAACTAGTGAACTAAAGAATTCCCTGGATTAAAAAAGTTCTTAAAAGTTTTAACTGTACTGTGACTACTACATTTGGACCGAAAGTTCAGGGTACTACTATGAATTAACACAAACAGATACTAGGTATTTTCATCAAACAACATCAAGTTGGCTGAAAAGGCAGTACTCACAGCCAAGTGTAAAGGGCTTATTGTTGCTCTATTGTCTGTATCATTCAGCATGTCTGTGCCCGAAGTTTCCATTAACTGAAAAAGAAGACACATTTTAAATGTCAGAAATACTACAACAGTTACTTCTTCTACTCCCCAGTTCAAATCTGTTTTAGAGTGTAAGTCAGCAATCTTATGGAAAAGGATCACAGAAGTGTGGTGAGGACCACAGACCAAAGCTCTAAAGAAGGGTATAAATCCAAGAGTTCAGAGAAATGTGGCTGACACCTTTCCCCTCCACTCCACATAATACTTGTCACTGTCTTTGCTTATGGAGATATGTGAAAACATTTTTGGCTTCAGTTCTTAATGACAGCAAAGAAATACAATATTCTGAATGAGAGGGAGGAGTTGACTAATACTTACAACATCTAAAGGAGTTTCACTTGCAATCTGAAATAAAGGTTAAAACAAAAACATTTAGTTTAGGAAGTATTCATATATACTAAGTCTACTTACACAGGGCTTTGCTAAATTCTCTTCTAAACCCATGTTTCCTTTTTTCCAAAACATTCTTTTAAACAAGCAATTATATGACATAATAAACTACAAATCTATATGTGATATAGCTGGGTGCAGTGGCACATACCTATAATCCTAGCTACTTAAGAGGCTGAGGCAGGGGCATCACATATTTGAGACCAGCTTGGTCAACTTAGAGATTGTTCCAAAATGAAAAATAAAAAAGGGGCTGGGGATATAGCTCTCTGGTAGAGGGCTTGCCTACCATGCATGCAACAAGGTTCTATGTCCAATCTCCTATACCACTAAAACAAAACAACAGCAATAAAAAAGTTATTTCTATAGCAGCATTCTAAATGCTGTATTAAGTACTAGTATAACTAATCTTTTTTCCTATCTTTTCTGTCGGTTCTTGAATTTTATTTGTTTCACAGGAAGCAAAGTTTAATGCAATTTATAATGTAAGCTATTTACGGGAACCTTCAACATGAAGTCTATTGCACTGGAGTTATATTTTAATTTGTCCCTTAGTCTCCTCCTGGCTTGGCAAAGTGGGGTGAATGGTACGTTTATTCTAGGATGAGACCACAGTTGAAATATAAAGTACCTTTGCAGGGCCAGGGATTTAGCTTAGCAGGCGCAAGGTCCTGAGTTCCATCCCTGATACCAAAAAAAAAAAAAAAAAAAAAAGTTCCTTTGCAGAAGGAGAATATCTTTTATGAAATAAAAAGGCCTTTCAGAATTTCCTAAATATACAGGAAAACTTTACTCTCACAAGGGCTTTTACTCTTACGAAGACATGGTTATAGTCTTTTTTTTTTTTTTTTTTTAAAGAAACTTATAGAAAGCATAGGAAGTAAATGCTATAGTCAGAGACATGGAGTAATACAAAGATGTCAGTAGCCTCCCCAGGGATTTATATGATTCTGCTATTTACTAGACTGGGTCGTCTATGTTGCTCAGGCTGGCCCCAAATTCCTGATTCCAACTATCCTGCTGACTCAGTTTCCCAAGGTATTGCAACTATGGGAGTTTCATTGTTATTCCTTTTTGAAAAAGACAAACAGTATATAACTAAGTCCAAATATATTTAGGAGGTATATGGATTCTGAAAAGTATTAAAAAAGCAATATATTTCTTTAACCATTCATTCTTATTTCATTACATTATTAGACTACAAAATTTACATTAGTCCTTTAAAAAGAATTTAGGAATCTTACCAGCTGAAGACAAAGACGGTGACCATAAGCAGCTGAATAATGAACTGCATTGTATCCTTGCTTATCCCGGATCCCTGGATTTGCATCGTTTCTTAGTAAGTATTCCAGGCACCTACACATAGTAACAACATACTGAGAACTTGAAATCCTGCATTTTAATCAATGACAAAAAAATTTAAAAACTAACAATTTTCTTAATACATAAATATACACTAAAAAATCTGCCATTTAAATGAGGTATTATGAATGACAATAAAATATTCACGAGAGAATCTCCTTTCTTCAATGTGGATAACTCTGAAGTCTATCAGAAGAGTTAGCATACCTGAAGGCTCTTTCTTAAATAACTACTATCTATGACACCATGTACTCCACTCAATGTTCCGTAGGACTGAACTTAGTGGTGTGATAAGCAAACAATGCTGACCTTATTTCTGCTTTTATCGCTACAGAACAGAAGTATAATTTCTCATCAGTAAGGTCAAGAAAGGATATTTTAAAAATTCCCTCAAGAAATCAAGACCAATACTTCCCAAACTATTATACAGATTTAATGCAATTCCAATCAGAATTGGAATTCTAGTAGCATATTTCATGTATCTAGAAAAAAACAATCCTAAAATTCATTTAGAACCAGTAGAACTTGAATAGCAGAAGCAGTTCTGGGCAACATAGGCAAGGCAGGAAGCATCACAAACCCTGACTTGAAATTATGCTACAAATCTATTGGGATAAAAACAGCATGGGGAGGGCCGGGAAATTAGCTCAGTGGTTCCACCACCTGCTTTGCAAGTGCAAGGTCCCACTTCAATCCCCGGGTACCAGATAAATAAATACATAAAAGCACAATTAAACAAAACAAAACAAAACAAAAAAACAGCATGGTACTGGAAAAACAAAAACAAAAATAGATCTGAGGATCAGTGAAACAGATTAGAAAGATGCAGAAACAACTCCAAACACACTTAACTATTTTATCTTTGACAAAGTGGTTAAACATCTTTACTGGAAGAAAAGCCTTTTTAATAAATGGTGCTGAGAAAACTGGCTTGCCAGTACTGAAGATAAAACGTAGGCCCATCTCTTACCATTCACTAAACTAAAATCAAAATTGATCAAAGATCTAAATATAAAAACAGAAACAATCTGTTGGAAGATGAAATAGGGAAAGCTCTTGGAATCACAGGGGTCAGCAAACACTTTATGAACAAAACTCTGACTACATAGAAACTATTATAAAGAATCAAAAACAGTAGTCACATATTAAAAAGCTTTTGCGTAACAAACAAACAAACAAACAATAAACCACCAACAGAGTGAAGAGACAACCCACAGGATGGAATTTTTTTTTGGGTATTGTGGATCGAACTTGGGACCTTGCGCTTGCAAGGCTGGCGGCCACACCACTGAGCTAAATCCCCAGCCGAGGAAAATTTTTTTATCAGTTACTCCTCAAAGGAATACGATCTAGAATATATAAAAAACTCCAAGAAAACATCAAGATACCCTCAAATTTAAAGACCCAATCCAAAAATGGGCATCTGAAATGGATACTTTACAGGTGAAAAAGTACAAACAGAAAATAAATATATGAAAAATGTTCAACATTCTTGGTCATTTGAAAATAGAAATTAAAACAACATTGAGGTTCCATCTCACTTCAGAAAAAATAGCTATCATGAAGAAATCAATAACAAATGCTGGCAAGGCTGTAGTGAAAAGGAATCCTTTTCCACTTCTGGTGGGAATGTGAATGGGTACAACCACTATGGAAATCTGTATGGAATTTCCCCAAAAAAACTAACCAGAGGTCCCATCTGATCCAGCTATTCCCTTTCTAGGTATCTTCCCAAAAGACTTAAAAGAATTGTACCATAGTGATATATGTGCATCCATGTTTACAGCAAAACAATTTGTATAGTTAAATCTTGGAAATAGCCCAGATGTCCATCAAGAGATGAGTGGGTAAAAAGAATGTGGTTTTTATACACAATGGAGTACAACACTGCCATAAAGATGGTTAAATTTGAGACATTTTTAGGTACATGGATCCACCTTGAGAACAAGTGAAACAAGTCAGATACACTTTAAATATTCACTGTTTCTTTTGTGTATGAGAGACCCAAAGTGTAAATAAGGATAAGAATGGATGACAGATTTTGGGAAGTAGGAAGAAAATGTTCAAATGGGAAGGGAAACTAGGGAAGGGGAGGGGAAAGGGAAAGGAGGGAATAGGGATAAAAAATAAAAAAGAACAGAAGAAAAACAATAGAAATAAAGTTTTGTAAAGGAAGAATTAAGATATGTGGAATCAGAGCACTGAGAAGTGTAGAAACAGTGACAATTATAAGGCAGTAAGAATGGCCTACTCATAGAGATACTTCATTTTTATGCTATTAAAACATTAAGGAAAATAATTCTTAAAAGGCAGTGTGTTACAACTGGTTATAATTTTAACAAATATTGTTACTCTAGTGAAAAGGCACTAAATTTGAAATTAAAGGATTTGCTTCTAGACAGTTTGGTATCAGTGATTTGAGAAATTACCATAAAGGCTATAAACCAAATCTACCATAAAGGCTCTAAACCTGGGATAGTGGAATATTATGTAGAGCTAAAATTCTCGGAATATCATTAAGACTAGTATTCTTGAAGTTTCATATACTAGCTCTGAGGGCATCTTAGATAAGCAAAGGTTTCAGGTAATGTGTAAGCTGTTTGTACACATTGTCCCTAAGTATTCAATTCAGAGGTTACTGTTCACTAAAATACAGAAAGGTCTACATGTCTGTAGGCAGGACAATACTTTACAAATGCATTAAACATATAACTCCAACTGAGTTCTCTAGATATAAATGAACAAACAAATGGTTTTCTTTTTTTCTTTTTTCTTTTTTGGTTCTGGGGATTGAACTCGGCTCCTTGCGCTTGGTGAGGCAGGTGGCAGAACCACTGAGCTAAATCCCCAGCCCTCAAGTGGTTTTTTCCCTTATTATACACAATGAACCCTCACCCTCTCCATGTGAAACCAGAGGGAGGACAGGACAAGGGCAGTGATATGGAAAAAGAGGATCCATAAAGGAAAATATAATATACTAGGCTTAAATATTAAAATTTTTGCTCAGTTGCTCAAGAAAATGAAAAGACAAGTTACAAATTGGGAACACTGAACAACATATACTCTGAATATACAAAAACTTCTCAAAAATTCCAAATAATAGGCAAAAGGACTAAACATTACAAAACAGAGGCTGTAAGGATGGCAAATAAGCACATAAAAGAGATGTTCAACATCATTAGCTATTAATTAAATATAAATTAAAAACGTAATTAGATACTACTACACACCAGAGTTTTTAAAAAGCACTGACAATTCTGAATGCTGCCAATAAGGTAGAGCAACTGAAATTCTCATACACTGCTGGTGTAGTTGAAAATGGTACAGCCACTCTAGAAATGGTCAAATAGCTCTCAGATGATGACTCAGTAAGTCTACTCTGAGAGAAATAAAAACCTTGTTTCACACTCAAAAACTACAAAAACTCAGGTCAACTAAAAACAACCCACACCTTTAAACTGGGGTACACCCAAACATGAAATAATACTTACTCAGCAATGAAAAGAAATAAACTATACGTATACACAATAGGATGGATTAAATTTGAAGGCAGCTGCTCGGTTAAAGAAACCAATCTCAAAAAGCTATCTACTATATATTCCCACTATATGACATTCTCAAAAAGACAAACCTATAGAGATGACAGATCAGTGGGTCTGAAGGACTGCAACAGAATAGAAAGAGGGAATGTTTCAGGGTGATGAAACTTCTGTATCTGACTGTGGTATTGGGTAAGTGTGCTAAAATTCACAGATTTAACATCTGCACTCCCAAGTTTATTGTAGCATGATTCACAACAGCCACAAAACAGAAACAAGTGTCCATCAATTGATGAAAGGATAAAGAAAAAAATGACACAAATATATGATGAAATACTATTCAGCTATATAAAGAATGAATTTTGTTGTTGTTTGTTGCTTACAACAACAGCATGGAACTAGCAATCATTAAGTTAAAGTAAACTAAGACAATCAAAAAGTCAAGTACTGCATGATTTTCTTTGTATGTGGAATCTGAAAAAGCTGTTCGCATAGAAGTTTATAGTAGAATGATGATTATCAAAAGCTGGAGAGAGTAGATGGGAAGGGTTTTTAAAAAAAATTTTTTCGGTACTGGGGATCAAACTCGGACCTTGCTCTTGTTACGCAGGCGGCAGCACCACTGAGCTAAATCCCTGGCCTCTTATCCAAAAACCAGTCTGTGGCAATGGTAATAAAGGACTACAGATGGTGATAAGTCACTGTATGCATAGTCTATTTTAAGAAAAATTATAAATTAAATCCTGAGGTTACAAAACTAATAAAAGGAAAGATAATCTGCTCATTCACTGTTTCCAAGAATTTTGATTTATAGTCCTTATCACAGATTTTCTTTAAATAGCTACTATCCAAAAGCATACTCTAAATACTTTGACTTCTACCAAAATCTATATACAACCTTTCAGGGATAGATTAAAATGTCTAAGGTCTTATATTCTTGAAAATAGAAAGTTCATTTTACTAGTACTTACAAGATTAAAAATTGCAGTCACAAATTCAACATAAGAAAATATCATAAACCAGGTGTGTAGCATATCCCTGAATCCTAGCACTCTGGCAGGCTGAGGCAGGTGGAATCACAAGTGTGAACCCAGACTAGGCAACTTAGAGATCCTATTTTTTAAAACGGGATGGGGATATAGCTCAGTGCAAGAGCGCTGGGTTGAAATAAAACAAAACAACCAAAATACAAACAAATAGAAATAAAAAGAAATGTTATAGGAATGGTTTGCAATTAGTTAATGAATTTATAGTCTAAATTAACAGTAAATAATACCAATGAATTATGCCTTGTGAGGGTTAAAAAGTAAATATTGGGCAGGGACAAGGGGAAAAAATGAGAACCAAGACCTGTCATGTAAAGGTACAAGATCCCAATAATGAATGTAACTGTACTGTATACCTAAAATGTACCAATAGACTCAATTTTTTAAAAAAGTAAATATTAAGAAACCAAAGAAACAGTTTGATGTTAAATATAGCTTCTAGGCTGGGGATTTAACTTAGTGGCTCTGCCACCTGCTTCACAAGCACAAGGTCCGGAGTTCGAGCCCCAGTACCAAAAAACAAACAAACATAACTTCTAAGAGCTATCTATATCCTATAATATCTCTCCCTAAGAATCATTTTTTAGTTTTACAAATGACATTTTTATTCTTCACTGACTCAAACACATGGAGAATAGCACAAACATTCAAGAGTTTCTGATTGTCAATGAGTTTTCTTCCAAGAAAACAAAAACAAAACAAAACAAAACACACTAAGATTCTGTAAATTCGTCTGACAGCTGAGTAGTATTTATAAAACAGTGTATGTATCAATCATTCTTTTTTCCACATTCACTGTTGGTCATATTATTCTATTTCTAATTTATTTACTTAAGCAATATGCAGTACCTACCATGTGCTAGATTTTGACAGTTCAGTTACCACTTTTTTGGATACCAATTTAAAAGCATTCCTTGCAAATCTGGACTTACTTCTGAAGGATAAGTGTATCCAATCTCTACCTATTCTTCTAACATTGTCCATCTATCCCTCCCCTTTCTCCTTTTCAAATGGCAAAAACACGGATGTGATATTAAGATATTTTTTAGACGGGGACGACCGGAGTGCCTTTTATATTTCTTCCACCAGATCAGTTAGTAAGGCAGACTACTGAGTAGCCTAGGTAGTGATAATTGTGACTTAGAAGTAATTGTGAAGTTTATTTATTTACCAAATTAAGGACTTAGGAAAAGATAACCAATAACCAAACATACAAGAAGGAAAAACAAATTTACAATAGAACAGCCATCCATGTGCAAGATGCCAGTTTAGAGAATTTCACCTTCATCCATATGATACCTACTTGCCATCTGTGTCTGATGTAGCTGCATAGTGCAGGGGTGTGCAGCCTCTTTCATCAAGGTCATTCACACTTGCTCCTGATCCCACAAGAGCAAACAGGCACTGGTAATTGCAGTTGGCAGCAGCGTAGTGCAGTGGAGATCTTTTGCGACAAATACAAGAAAGATAAAAGCAGAGATATGCAATAGTAAACAAGAGTACAGTTGACTCTACATCCAGTTACAAATACTGTATTTACAGGGCACTTTCTACTGACTTCTACCATATAATAAGTCTTTCAAAGGGCTGGTCACAAAATTATGAGAAAATAGGTTGGAGGACTTTTTGGTATAAAAATAAAACTGAAACAGTTATTTACTGATTTTCTACCAGTTGCAATCCAGTCAGTCCACTAAGTGAATTACAAATCACAATATTCTGCTCAGAAACTCAAACACTTTCATTTTAACAAAGCTTTCCAACACTAATAAAAATGCCCCACAGTAGAGTTAGCAGACTGTTCATTGTATCAGCAGAGGAATGAAGGATAAAATGAAAAAAATTAAAGCATTAAAAAGAATGTTCTCTTACATAAACTGTATGAAAATCCCTAATAGTAACACCAGATTTCTCAAGCAATAAAGGCCTAGTTTTGAAGACTATTCACTATTCAGATGAACTAGAATACTGTCTTAAATTCTAAAGACTGAATATCTACAGCTGATTTCTACCTAGTTACTAAAGTGAGGCAGAATGTTACTGAATTTAGGACTGCAATGATTCTACAATTTCATAAAGGAAAAAAAAAAACCAACCAGAAAAACAATGGTAGATTTAGAAGTCTTGATACTATTATTTTTTCCTAAAATATTTATCTAATAAAATGACAGTAAAGAAGTTTTGCCTTACTTGATAATATAGAGATGTTTTAAAAAATGCAATTAACCTGAATTACTTTAAAGCTTCAAAACTCAGAATATACTTCAAAAGCCCTATTTGTAGTATAGATTGCCTGAAATGTTACAATTTACTATAAACTAGATTAAAGTACAATCATAAAAGCAAATTAACTATAAAACTATTATATTCCTAGGCTACACAAAGTGATTCCTGATTTCCTGGGTCATTAATCCCTTCCATTAGTAGGCTTATGAGATTACTTTGTTTCTCAAACTTGGGGTCAAATCATTTTTTTCTTTTATTATTTCTGAACTCCTACCATCTATAATTCTTTGTGCTTCTCTGCTGCACTGGTCTCATCATGTGTACCTACAAACATTCACACATTTCTTTTGATATGTTCCTCTGCCATATACTTTGATACATGCAATTTTCAACTACTGACACATAATTTTGCTTATTCCACCATCTTAATCTTTCAAACAAATTTAAACTTCTGGTACTTCTTTCCTACATGGTTTAATGGACTCTTTTCTATTCCTGCTCTAAGTAGGACTAAATAATATAACTTCATACACTGCTCTCACAAATGTAAGTTAACAATGAGGCTTGAGACTCAACAATGGGAGAGAACTTTGGCGGAATAACAATGGAGAGTCTGTCACTACACGGTTGTCTTCCTGGAGATTCTATTTGTCGGATATGTGGACATGTGAGTAAGATTTATATAAAAATGAGAAAAGAACAATCACATTTATATTTGCAACTTATTTTCTCCATCTTAAGTGCTTTGTAACCACATAGGGGAAGTAAAACTCTCAGAGGAATGACTTGAGGAAAGAACTACGTTACAGTGTTCTAGGAAATGTCAGTTTCCATCTTTTTTATTTTGAGATAGGGTCTCCCTAAGACCCTAAATTCTGCAAGCTGGACTTGAATTTATGATGGACCACCATGCCCTGTTACTGTGAGTTTCTTGAAGGAACATAGGTACTATTGAGTTTTAAATTTCCATGATTATAGTATAGAAGGAAGAGAAGTGATATCAAAAAGTATAGAGGTAGTAATACCAACTAGTTGGGGGCTGAGGCAGCAGGATTCCATGCTGGAGGAATGAACGAATGAATTGCTAGTTGACATGTAGTTCAGCGGGAAAGGGCTTGGCCTGCATGTGGGAGGTCCTGGGTTTAATCCCCACTGCAGAAAAGAAAAACTGTAGAGGTACTTATAAGAGTAGGGCTATGGCTGGTAGCCTAAGGCTATGAGAGGAACTCAAGTGGAAAACTGGGTAAAATAAATATTTCGATCAACTGGCTTTAGTTGGAACTCCCAATAATCATCAATAATGCAGAATTATCATTCAGTTAATTTTCAGAAATCAGAAGGTCGGGCTAGGGATTTAGCTCAGTGGTGCTGCCACCTGCCTTGGAAGCACAAGGTCCGAGTTCAATCCCCAGAACCAAAAACAAAAAACAAAAACAGAAATCAGAAGGTCAAGTACATCATAGGTAAACAAATTGTACCCTACCTTCCAAATTTATCCTTTTTGTTGAAGTCTGAACCAGTATTCAGCAGAAGGTTTAGGCACTCCAAATTCCTATTTAGAGAAAAGAAAAAACTTAGTTGTCAGTGATTTTATAATAACACTGATAGATTTAAATAAGCATATAAACTCTTTTTGGGGGGTTACCAGAGATCGAACTCAGGACCTTGTGCATGCTAGCTAGGCAGCGGCACCAGTGAGCTAAATACCTGACCCTACGTTAGCACCTTTTTTTTTTTTTTTTTTTTTTTTTTTTTTTTTTA